TCGAGCAAAAGGATCGAGGGTGACGCATACCAGCAGTTCAATGGACGTTAATGTTTATAGAAAGAAAATGGTATAAAAATTAACATATTTTTAATGAATAATTAATGAATTATGATTTATAATTTATTTTATATTGATTTTAATATTTTCTCTTCTTTTTTTTCTTTACAGCAACAAGCAAACCCCGAGGGTCATCTACTGACATTTCCTGAGGTCTACACCAATAGAAGGCAGCACAAAGGAAAAGGAGAAGACCAACTGCCTATATATTATAATGATGAGGCTCAAGAAATGGGAGTAAGTACTTAACTTAACAATTTTACTTTAAATTGTGTCATGAATTAATTGAAATTATTTTGGTTATAATATTGAAATTATTGTACAATATAGTTATTGGTAAAAGTTAGAACTCCATCCTTTTAGGGGATAGTAAATTGAATTTAGGTGCCTAAAGTGATATTTTAAATTACACTTTAATTTTCAATACAATTAATTATTTGTTTTGTCTTATATTATTTCAAGAAAAATTAACAGTTGAATATGCTGCTAGGCAAGAGGAAGAAGGATTGACCCTACAATAGCTCATGGTGAGTTATTACTTAGGGCAACTGGTGGGGTTAAGAAAGGATGGCTGAAAGGTTTGGATATTCACACACATCCACAGGATATAGGTATGAGAACATCTAGATGGGAACCATTCAGGCCACCCATCATAAGACAATCTAATAGGGTTATCGAATTAGAACAGATTGTTGAATCATTGAAGGCAGATAATAATAGCCTTCGACAATCACAGATGAACCTTATGGCAGATAATGAGAGCCTACGACAGCAACAGATGACCCTTGCTACACAGATGCAGCAACTCTACCAGCATTTAGGGATGACCCCAGTGGTTACTAGTGGGACAGTCACCCAAGACACCCCGAAATATTTAGGTTTTTTATATTTCAATTAAATATTTGTATTTACTTTATATTTGTAGTAGACATTAGAGACTTATATATTTAGAGTAAATTAACAAAATTTTCTAGCATTTTATATGATAAATATCATAAATTATGTGAAAATAATTTTACATGATCAAATATATTAATTTAAATATCAATTAAATTCTTTACATGTAAGAAATATCAAATTAAATAAAATACTTATACATAGATCGGTTTTAATTAGTATAACAACTGTAATAAACACACAAATGGCTAGGTGTCTAGGGGCCCAAACAAGCAGATACGGACTAATTTCGATCTGTATATATCAAAAAAAGAAAAGGCGGATGCAAAATACCCGCAGTTGGCTTAGTAAAAAAAAACAAAATGTCGAAGCAGTGCAGCACTAGTCAACTTTCATTCCCCAGTCGGCTCAACTGATTCAAACAAGTATATACAGACCGGTATCGGATACCGATCCGTATATAACCTGTAAAAAGTCCAGGTATGATAAGCCGGCTGCAAAAGTTTTACAACCGGCTCAGTCCAAAAAAATAGAACGTTCGAGGCAGTGCAGCACCAACCGGCTTTCATTCCTCAGCCGGCTCAACCCAAAACAATATATACAGACTGATATCGGTCTGTATATATTACTGTTAATATATACGGACTGATATCGGTCTGTATATACACAGAGCCTCAGTGGTATGTACGTAATAAACACACAAATGACTGAGTGTCTCGTGGCCGAACAATCATATACAAACTGATATCGGTTTGTATATATCAAAACCAGAATATCGAAACAGTGCAGCACTAGCCGGCTTTTAGTCCTCAGCCGGCTCACCTGATTTATCACATGCTCAATTTGTTATACTCTCGTTTTTAACCATAACATTCCAAATGATTGCGTGCCAAAGTGGTTAACCTTACCCAAAAAAATCAATTTTATTTGCTTGTAGCTCCGAAAGAACATTAAGTGACCTTATATCTAATAACCTTATACTTATACAGTCAAGGTTTTACAACGATTTTATCCCGCATCATCGTCAAATAATTTCATGGAGGGAATCGATGGTTTAGGGGTTCTAGGAGACTGTAGTGTTGATGTTCACGCAATTGGTTTTCGTAAGAACGGATTTGGGACAAGGGAAGATGGTAATGTCCTTAAATGAAAATAATAAAAACCTGCACAGGGAGAAGTTTCTTGATTTTTTGCAACATATTCGGACAAAAAACGGTCTGAAAAATCAAAAGCGTGGAAGCTTCTAGAATATGTGCCTATATTCCAACCAAAGCCGGTCCGTATATATTTACACTGAATTTAATTTATCTTTATAATTAAAAAAAAAAAAACCATATAGACATATATACGGACCAATACCGGTCCATATATAATTGTATGGATTGGGTTGGGTCCCAATATATACCCACCTATAGCTTTTTCATTGCTTTCCTTATCTCATGCTAAATTCGTTATACTCTCATTTTGAATGATAACATTTTGAATGTTTGCATGCTAAAGTGGTTAACCTTATCCAAAAAAATCAATTTTACTTGCTTATGGTTCCGAAAGAAGATTACGTAACCTTATATCTAATAACCTTATACTTATACATTCAAGGTTTTACAATGATTCTATCCCGCGTCATCGTTAGATAATTTCAAGCAAGGAATTGATGGTTCCGGGGTTCCAAGAGACTATAGTGTTGATGTTCACGTAATTGGCTTTCTTAAGAACGGATTTGAGGCACGGGAAGATGGTGATGTCCTTAAATGAAAGAATAAAATGCTGCACAGGGAGAAGTTTCTGGATTTTTTTGCAATATATTCAGCTCAACAACGGTCTGAATAAATGTGAGTGGCATATAAAATACGTAACTTATTTTATCTTTATAATTAACACTTATATATACAAACTGATACCGGTCCGAATATAACGATTACTCTTTGCCTCCAAAAAATTTCACTGAAAATTAAACTTTTTAGGATTGGCGCTTAATTATTTATTTACCGACCGTTTTCGGTCCGTATAGTTTGCTGCCAAAATTTTGCTATGAATTAAACTTTTTGGTAATTTGCGGACTGATGTCGATTTGGAAATGTTTGCCGCCTAAATTTTCAGCAAAATTGAAGCTATCCGCTGGCGGCAATGTGGCACTTATTTTGGTATATTCGGATCGAGTTTGGTCCGTATATAACCTATATATAACCAACTCCCTCTCATTCTTCTCCTCATTTTCTCTTCTTCTTCTCTTTCTTTTTCTTCTTCATCTCCTCTGTTTCTCTTCTTTCTCATTTCCTTTCTCTATTCTTTTTACTCCTTCTCCTTTTTTCTTACCCTTCCTCTCTTTTTCCTTTCTTCTTTCTCTACACTTCATAGTATTCTTTCTCCTTTTTCTTTTTCTTACTCCTCTTACTCTTCCCCTCCCTTTCACGTTTTTTTTTTTTCCTTTAATTTTTCTATTTTTTCCAATCTTTTTTATTCCACTCTCCTTTTTTTTTTTTTTT